TGAAACATTAACGTTTACTGGCTTTCCCTTGTGACCGGTGGATACAGATACTCCTCCGCCTTTACCTCCGACGTTGACATGAGTGCCATCTGCTGGCTTTCCTTTCCCAGTGTTCACTCCAACTCCTTTGCCGCCAACGTTCACATGGGTGCCACCCCCTTCCTTTCCTTTCCCGGTGTTCACATTCACTCCGCCCTTCCCTACGTTCACAACAGTACCCCCTGGCTTCCCTTTTCCTGTATTGAGGTTTACACCACCGCCACCAACATTCACAGAGGTACTTTTCTCCCCCAACGGCTCTGCAAATACACCAAAATGAATGCATCAGTTAGCATATTTGCTCATGTCCTATTCTTACGTTTTCCAGAATAAATTGCCCAACAGAACGTATTTGCTCATTCTCTTTCAATAAATCATGAACACAACGCATTGTAAGCACTTCACATCCGATTATTAGGCTGCTTCCCAGATTACGTGATTGTAAAACAATCTTTAGGGTACTGAACACTCACCAGGATGTAGAATTTCTTGGACAACCTTTGGCATAGGAGTATTTGGCAGCTTATTGTTCCAATATTGCTCAGGTGAGGGAACAGTATGGCTTGCCACCACAGCAAGCTGCAAAAACAAACAACAAACAGGAAAAGTTAAGGTAAAAGGAAACACTCGTCAGTTATTTACACTCAACAACAAGCAATCACATGAAATCTAAAAACTTACTGCTAGTAACGCAAGAACCAACGAGAGAATCTTCATCGAGATCCGAGTAAATAATCTGAAAGTTAGTGTAGCGTGAATGGAATGAAAAGTAGGGCAACAATGCTCCACATTTATAGTGAGGGGTGAACTAGGAGCCTTAGGTCAAATAACACTCCCAGCGGTTTTTCTCAACAATAATGTCTCCAACTGCCGCTGGTTAACTTAAATATTTAAGTTATTGTAGGGCAACAATGCTCCACATTAATGCAGTATGTGTCATATGGGCTAAGGTGGATGAGCTTGCGGTTGCGGGTGGTGGTACGTGCATTCAAATTTGGTTTGCCAACATAATTGATTCGGCCATTCGTCACTTGGTTATGGCCCTCAATAGCAGCAACAGCTTCGGCAGTAATATGTTTTAATTCCCTTTAACTTTTATGAGATTTTATTAAAACTAACAACTACTCAATTTATGAGGATTTAGTATGAGTTATTTTCAGATAATTCCATGATTAACAGGGTTTTGCCCATTCAACATGTGCCGCTAAAACTACGAATACAACGTATAATGTAATGAGGCAATGAGTTGAGCATTTTTTTTGCCTTTTTTTCCTATGCTTACGTTACGTTCAATAATGGTTGGACCCAGAGGATGATCGAGACGATTTCTCATATAATTTAGATATTTATATTTATTGATGTAAATAAACGGAGCGTTCGGTGAACTGTTTGTGAACCATTCGTGTAACGTTCGTTTATGTTTGTTTATTAAACTAAATAAACGAGTATGAACAAATTTTTTTTATGTTCATTTAATAAACGAACGAACACGAGCAAAGGTGTGTTCGACTCGTTTATGAGCTCATTTATCTACTCTCTCATTTATTTTATGAACAATCTCATTTATCCGGTTCTCCTTTCTTTTTATTTTGTTACATTTTAAATATTGGTGAAGATAGGGATTAAATTATACCCATGGTATAAGTTGAAATTTAAACTGTGAATTTTAAGGAGTTTAAGCACTAATGATATAATTTTATCATTTTCTTTATCTTGCAAATAAAAGAGTAAAACTAAAAGTTGAATATAAATTAACGTTAAACGAATGTGTTCGTGAATGTTAAATAAACACGTTCGTGAACGCTAAATGAACATGTTTGTGAATATATAAACAAACATGTTCACAAATAATAAATAAATGAACACGAACAATTTTAAAAAAAATAAACATGAACACATTTAAAAATAAACAAAAGAATATGAACATTACCTTGTTCGTTCTTAATTCACTTACATCCGTATTTATTTTTTATTTTCTATTGATAATTTATTTTTGCATCCTCCTAAAAATTTATAGTATCACCCTAGCGTAAAAAATTGTGTCTGTCTTACATTTACTTCGGGGTCATTTAGATACAACCTTGGAAGAATGAAATGAGTTAGGATTAAATACGGGAAGGATAAAGTTGCTTAACTTCAAAAGAATAGGGATCTGTTAAGAATTTAGACCAAAAAATAAATGAAATAAGGCTTAATTTGATCAATACTTGAAGTAATAAGACTGAAGTGAGTTAGTTTCATGCATGCGTGGAAGGCAACCAGGCATGTTATTAGTTATTATTCACTCCATCACAATTATTCTGAAAAAAATAACTTTAGATATTTTAAAATCATTTTATTAATATTTTTAAAATATTATTTTGTATATTTTTTACTAATAATAATTTTTATATAATAGAAAATAGAATTAAAAACTAACTATTAAAAAATAATATATAACAAATTTAGTAGAATGAATACAATATTATTTTATTCAAGAAAGATATATTATTAGATGACATACTATAGGAACCAAGGATTTGAATTTCATGAATTATTAGTACAGTTCAAGGAAAGCTATATGAAAACGAAAGAATTTATGTGAAAATAGACCTGCACGTTATGTTCTTAAGCAGATTGTGTAAACATGTAATTTAATATTTGTTAAAAATGGCAAAATCGTAAAAATGAGTATGATGACTCGTCTATTAATAAGTATAGCAAGTGATACGTTATAAGATCCTAAAATCTAAATATTTTACACTTCAGGGAAAAGATTTATGTTGACATAGGAAAAATTATTTTCCCTTAATAAGATGTAACAAAAAGAAATCCAATTTTCTCTCTTATTATTTCAACAATTCAATTATAATCAATTCTTCATACAAAAATCACTAAATTTATGGTGTTTAATGGACAAATTTTTTTATTTATTTTGATAATAGTTTTTTTTTAAGTTTAATATCTTATGATAATATATTTTAAGGACTTTATTTTAATTGTGCAGTACACGTCCACATATTTTTTTTGAGATGGGCATGGTGTATGATATATATATTATCGTTCATAAGAATATAATATATTAAACATTTATTATTAATTATATTAATCTTATTTAAATGTGTTGTATCATATTTATTAAATCAACTTTTATGTTTACGAAAGTATGCACAAATTTAGAAAGTCATGGGAGCAAGATGAGAACCCCTTTATACATTATATTACTTTGAATATTGTAAAAGAGTCAAAGATTGTATATACTTCTGTTAATAAATATGTCCCACCACCAGATGAAAAACCGTACGCCGCCCTTGCACTATTAAACCATACACTTGTTTTAACATTGGAGTCAGAAGATGGAGGTTATTAGATTCTAGAAGTCATTTTTCGACCGTATTTTCTTCTTCCAGGCCTAGCCCTAGCCCTAGCCCTAATCCTTTACCCTGATCTACATAGTCAGAACTCAGAAGTTGGGGTTCTTTTGAAGATTATGTTTTTTTTTGGCCTGCCAAACTGATAAATTATTTGGATAGAAAAAAAAAAAGGATAGGTGGAAGTTTATTTTTTGATTTACGATATTTGTTATAGTATTTAAAATACTTGTTTTGTAGAGGTGATGAGTTTTAAAAAAAAATTATTCAAATTCCTCACGTTAAGATGACGAATTTCAAATAAAATATAAATTTTTATTAAATTGAAATAAAAAGTTAGAATAAAAAATATATTTTATTAAAATTCATCACTTCAACGTGACGAGTTTCAAGTTACTATAACAAATGTATTATATCTTTAAATAATTTATATATATCCTATTAGACTAATTATTTAAATTGTTTGCACTATTGGGCCAAAAAACCATCCACTGCTTACCTAAATTCGTCTTTACGTAGAACTCAGATTGGGCTTCAATCCAATAAACCCAAAGAAGTTTCTAGGGTTTTTGGCTCATTACGGGTTTTAGGTTTTTTATTTAGCCCATTAAGGCACCTCGATTTTTATTTTAGAGGATACGGAAAATGCTACAGTGAAACTGAAACTCGTCACCTCGAGGTGACGAATTCTAATAAAATATAATTTTTTATTAAAATTTATCACATCTAGCTTAAAAAATTGAATAAAATTGTATTTTTTATTCAAACTTTTCACCTCGACCATGCATTATAGAAAATGTCGTAGATCCCAAAATAAAAATGTATGTGACATATTTTACAATTTTTTTCTGGGCTTCCCTATTGGGCCAAAAAACAGATTCTAGTTTAGCTTTAAGCTCAAAAAGTATTACTTTATTTGTCCCACTAAATGTGTCTATTATTGACTTTTAAAAAGTCAATAATTTTAAAATTTAACTATGATTATTTTAAATATTTTAAATAATAAAATTTTATAAAAATATATATTTGAAAACTACTTGATTTAAGTTTTTAAAATATATTTTTTTACATTTTTATCAATAATAAATTTTAAATAATAACGAGCCAAAATTTTAAAAATTAACTAAAAAAAGTTAACAGTTGACAAATTTAATGGGACGGAGTGAATACATATTTTAGTTTTAGTTGTTGTACCCATGCTTCACGTGGTGGAAAAGATTTATAAAAATACATCTTATGAAATAAGAAAAAATTATAAAATATTTGATGAAAATATATTTCACATGATAGGAATAGTTTATGAAGACAAATCTTATCCGATAAAAAATCTATAAAAATTTGAAGCGTCTAATTAAATATATATTCAAATTGAGATTTGAGTTAAATGCCAAAAAGGTTATTACTAGTATTTCAGGAAAATTTGTTTATATTAATCGCAGAATAAGCTTTAGAAAATGTAAAGTTGTAGCCTTTTAGGGTAGTTTGAACCAATTCATGTGTCAGGATAGTGGTGGGCTATGGCCACATTATACATGCATGTAAGCGAACTATTGTGATACAATAAGTAATACTATCATTTTATCCGTTACTAAAAACATGAACCGTGGATAGATTCTGCATACCTAAACTCGTGGGTTTGAGGTATAATTATTGTACAACGAACTGGATATTGCTTTAAGCTATATTAATGCACTCTGTGCTTAGTTGATTGATGAAACTGAAGGGTCTGACTCTTCAGGATTTTACTTGGGGACCCAAACAATGTGATCTTGAGGAAGGAAATGACAGATAGGAACGGTTCCTGGCTCAACCTTAAGGACTTGAAAAGCCAAATGCTTTGGGTTCCATGCCGATGTATCTGTGTGGCAGACTGCTACTGCTTTGGCTTTTGTCCCGTCAGCACCCTTCAAAGGAACCATGTAAGCCCTTGTTGTATCTGATTTATGGCAATAGAAGACGGCATATGCATATTTCTGCTTGTGGCACACTACGTTTTTCTCGCCTCCCATCCTCTCTACTCCGACTGCTACTGTGTACTTCTGCTTTGGGGTTTGCTTTTCCACCTCTGTAGAGACCGCCTTATCAATTTTGCCTAGCTTGGAAGTGGTGAAGTCGATCATTGATTCAAGTGAGGTGGCACAATATTTTTCTTCTCCTCGAATCGATGGCTCTTCGCACTCCTTGATTGTATTCTTCATCGTCTCTGCCTTTTCAGTTCCAGGTTTTACTGAAAATTTGGAGAGAATTTCTGGCAACTTGTTAGATGAAAACGGTATTGATTGGGATATTTGGTAAGGTAAGAAAGCTGATTTCTCTGTAGTTTCGGTGAAACGAAGGGTCCTTGTTGCCCCGGGGTGCATATCCTTTTCCAAAAGGAAAAGTGCCACATTCGGGTCATCATGGATTTGATTCTCAGTGGCTGCATAATTGTATTCAAACGGGTCCGGTCCAGGCTTAACGTTCACAGCAGTATCCCCAGGTTTCCCTTTTCCTGTATTAACGTTTACACCATCGCCACCTACATTCACAGAGGTACTTTTCTCCCCCCACAGTTCTGCAAATACACCAAAAGGAATGCATTTTCCAGAATAAATTGCTAAACAGAACATATTTGCTCATTCTCTTCAATAAATCATGAACACAGCACATTTTAAGCACTTCACGTCCGATTATTAGGCTGCTTCCCTGATTACGTGACTGTTTACAGCATTAGACTCATTCAATCCTATGGGGAACCAGTGCAAGAGATTCTACAAAGTTTATCTCAAAAACAATGGTAGTGAGTAATATGATTTAAAGAAGAACAATCCTTGGGGTACTGAACACTCACCAGGATGTAGAATTTCTTGGACAACCTTTGGCATAGGAGTATTTGGCAGCTTATTGTTCCAATATTGCTCAGGTGAGAGAACCGCATGGCTTGCCACCACAGCAAGCTGCGAAAACAAACAACAAACAGGAAAAGTTAAAAGGAAACACTCATTAGTTCTTTACACTCAACAACAAGCAATCAAACGAAATCGAAAAACTTACTGCTAGTAAAGCAAGAACCAACGAGAGATCTTCATCGAGATCCGAGTAAATAATCTGAAAGTTAATGTAGCATGAATGGAATGAAAAGTAGGGAAACAATGCTCCACATTTATAGTGAGGGGTGAACTAGGAGCCTTTGGTCATGTAACACCCCCATCGGTTTTTCTCAACAATAACGTCTCCAACTGCCACTGGTTAAATGCAGTGTGTGGCATATGGGCCAAGGTGGATGAGCTTGCGGTTGCGGGTGGGGTACATGCATTCAAATTTGGTTTGCCAACATAATTGATTCGGCCATTTGTCACTTGGTTATGGCCCTCAATAGCACCAACAACTTGGGACCAAATTGATAGAATTAGAATAAATAAGTAACAGTGTCCAAATGTATGATTATATCTAATATTTTAACTCTCACATCAGCTTCTTCGTTAAATATTAATGGCAAGTGACATGATTGACAAAATTTAAAAAATGATGGTAAAATAAAAAGAGATAATAGTTAGGTGGTAACTAGTATAGTTTAGATAAAGGAATAAAAACGGGTTCAGTCCAGGCCTAACGCTCACAGTGTTCACATGTACTCCGTCCTTTCTTTCGTTCACAGCAGTACCCCCAGGTTTCCCTTTTCCTGTCTGTATTAACATTTACACCACCGCCACCTACATTCACAGAGGTACTTGTCTCCCCCCACCAGTTCCGTAAATACATCAAAATGAATGCATCAGTTAGCATATTCGCTCATGTCTTATTCTTAAGTTTTCCAGAATAAACTGCTAAACCGAACATATTTGCTCATTCTCTGACAATAAATCCGAAACAGAACTCATTTTAACCACATCTTATCCGATTATTGCAGTTAAAACTACTAATACAACGTAGAATAGCAATGGGGTGTGCATTTTTCTTTTTTGGGGCTTCTTCCCTAGGTGAGCCCATTATAATATACTTCCATTAATAATGTCCTACCACCAGATGAAAAATCGTGCATCGCCCTTGGACTATAGAACCATACACTAGTTGACATCGGAGTCGGAAGTTAGAGGTTAGATTCTATAAGCCATTTCTCGACATTATTTTTTTCTGCGCCTATCCCTAGTCCCTTACCATCATCAATTTACAAGTCTAGGTCTTTTGAAATTTGATTTGCACAGTTAGGGTTATGCTGACCAAAACTACCCTTAACTATCCAATGCTACGTAAATTCGTCTTTACATAGAACTCAGACTGGGCTTCAATCTAATAAACCCAAAGAAGTCTCTACTTTAAACATTTGCTTTAAATCGAATGGTGGAAATAGCTTATATAAGATTCTATTTTAAACTAGGGATGAGCGTGGACTTGAAATCGACATATTTTAATTTGATTTTATGAAGTTATTTTTTTAAGTTTAGGTATGCATTAATTTTTTTAATGATAATATAGAATCAAATTTAAATTTAGAATTAAAATTTTAATCAAATCTTAATATTATAATATAATTATCTCTTATTTTTTTAGAGATAATTATAATAATATTCGTCTTTTTATTTTTTTTCCAAGTAGGTCCCTATTCTATCTAATAAGAATAAGATTTTTTTTATATATGCATGTATATGATCAAGTGCGATATTTTTTTTTCAAAAAATGAATCAAATAAATATTCTCTAAATTCAAATCAAGTTGAATAACAAGTAATATAGTATAATATTCAACCAACAATCAGTTGGTCTAGTGAGATGTGGCAATATGTCCCTTCAGTAAGGTTAAGGGTTCGAATCCTGGCGTTTGCTAATGGAGCATACTGGGTTGGGTGGGTCGCCTCGTTGTCTCTACAATACTCGATCTAGATTAGTCGATCAATAGATCAGATACCAATTATTAATTCAAAATATTAGTATAATACTCAGCTTGAATTTAAATCAATCAAAAAACGTGATCAAACTCGATCTATATTAGTCCGTACTTTAAACTTAAAAAAATGTACATATTTTAATTTTAATGGTTGTAGCCTTTTTAGGGTAGTTTTTCTTTTGACCAAATACAAATATATACTCATTTATCATCGTTTAATGTATCAAGTCTTAACCTATATGTAATAGAATCATTAGCAATTTTTAGCTTGACAGATGAGGATATTAGTTTTGTATTGTTCATCGATCACTTGTATTTATTTTTTATACGTATATGTACTTTTTTTAAATTTTCTAATATTTTTCTCTATGTTTATGGAACGTTTTTTTATGTCTTCATGACACGTTTTCGATTATTTGACGATCTTTTCAGAGATGGATTTAACTAATTAACGTCACCTCGACTGATATCGTTTATTTATTATCTCATTGATCTTCTTTGTTTTAGGCTCTCATATTGAATTTGAATATGCGGTTTGTGTTTGTAGATAGTTTTTCCCCAACGCTCGATTCTGATTTAAGATTGTCGATAGTCTTTCAGTAGTTTAACCCCTTATTTTGGTTCATTTACCGATGCAATCAAATTTATCCGTATTTATATTTTGTTCGAGTTTCTTGGATGAGTATTAACTTTTTTTCTTGTATAATCCTTAAATGATTTTGAGTGACTAGTTTATTATATCAATAATTACAAACAAATATTTTAATTATGTCTTTAACTTCAAACTTTATTATAATTTTAAATATTCTCTTTTTTTAAATAAAATTAACGACTTTGTTGGCATAAAAAAGTTTTACTTTTATAAGTTGCTTGTTAGATTTAGTTTCTATATCGGAACTGTGGTGGGCAGTGGGCACATCATACTTACGTATAAGCAATTATACCAAGGTATTTATACTAAAACCAGGTTTTTTTTCTTTCGAAACTCGTATAAAGTGTAAATTAATGCAAATTACACCTTAATCATTAAATTATTATTATTTTACTTTTATCATTCGTCATTAAAAAATTAATTGAAATATCAACAAGATAATTCAAGTAGTAAGGAGATTAATATAGCTTAAGCATGTATTGAGTTAAAGTCTTTATGTATGCAGAAAATCTTCGTTAGGAAACATATCCACCAAAGTCAGGTGTGTGACGCGAATCGATCTGAATTAGTCGAAACAAAACCCTAATTAATATGTTACAATCTTTGTAATATTGTTTGTTCAACCGAAAATATTATGATTTTTTATAACATTTTGATATTATTTATTATTTTTCATTCCTTAACTTTAAATTAAGTTATCGTACAACATAAATTCCCAAAATATGCTTAATTTTTGAGATTATTAAGCTTGTAGTTATATAATCCTTCAGCAAACGATTCAAATTTTTATTTTACAAAAATTCCATCAAATTATTATTTAATAAGATATAATCATTATTTTGAAGAGGAGAGTGTAGAGAACAACTTAATTTAAGGTAATAAACTGCATATTAATTTAAGCTGTTGGATGGGCAATTTGGGTGGGGGAAATAGGGTAAATTATGCCTATTGTACCATTTGTTTCGGTATGACCGGCTTTGATCATCGAAACAATTAAAGGAAAATTGTACCTTATGTTATCGTTCCATCCATTTGAAGTCTCTATGCTATTAATTTTGTTTAACCCCTTTATTTTAAGTCACTTTTGTTGAAGTCACTAACATGACTGAAAGACTAAAATCGAACGAACCGATAACATTAAAGATTAAAATCAAATGACTGATAAAGTTATGGACTTAAATCAATGCATTAGTGACCATTTATATTTTTTTTTTTGTGATCAAAGTTGGTTAGATCGAAAACATAGGAGATTAGGGGGAAAAGGAAGAAGATAAAGTCCCCACGACTGTCTAATCAATCTTTGTAAGTGATTTGAGACAACTTTTGGGGTAAAAAGAATTCTTGTTAAGTTGCTCTAGCAAGGGAGCGAAAGAAATGATTCTCATAATGTTTGAGATTTCCCCATCAATGGAGATTTTGCTTTGCTGTTTTATTTTCTTGGCTTCTTTTTTTTTCTTTTCTTATTCTCTTCCCATATCAATATATCTTTATCAAATTGAATGATTCTACAACGTTAGACGAATATCGATAAGTATCACTAACGATAAGCATCATTAATTTAATTTATAAAAAATTAAAATTATAAAATACTCAACGTATAATTATAAATTAATTAAAATTTTAAAGGTAAATCATTTAAAATAAAAGATAAATTATATCAGTGACCATTTAACTATTGTCACTTTTTATTTTGACAATAATTTTTGAAATTTTGTCAATCATGACACACTAATGTTTAAATGCATTCCATTAAATCACTTGCCGTTATTATTTAACGAAAAAGTTAATATGACAGTTAAAGTATTTGATATAATTACTCATTTAATCCATGTTACTTATATATTATATCAATTTTATCCTAATTTTAATAAATCAAATATACCAAAGTAGTTAATTGGAGAAGAATCCAATTTAATGCCAGCCAATACAAATTTTATTTTCTCTTTATCGACTTTTATTATTTCTAATAATAAAGTAAAATAAACATGCTAATGTTTTGTGTTAAGATGTGTCAACATGTCTCAGTGTTCTTCTTTTTAGCTTAAAATATTATATTTTACATTGATACACGTAAGACAATTAGTGTAACAAAATTATGTGTAATTTTAGGAGTTTAAATTAGATGTTTTATTTTATTTTGTAATTATTTTTAGACCGTTTGTTTAAAAATATTTATTTTTTATTAGTCAGTATCTAAGTATTATAACTTTACGTTTACTGCATTATAAGTAAAATCTATTTGTTTTGGATTAATTTTTAAGAGTTTAAATTTTGATTTTAAAGAAGTATAATCCAAAACACTACATTGAATCTCTTCACCGGTTATCGTCTATCCCCTGGCTTTCCGAGTTCTAGATCCGAAATAATATCTGAAAATAACATTGGATGATAAATTATTCCTTTCTCGAGACACCAACGTTTATATCAGCAGTTGCACATTAACTGCTCGGGAAAATGCCGAGCGAAGTCACCGCGGAAATGATTTTCGATATAAAAAAACCGAAAACAGTAATCCAAATACATTTTAAATTACAAGTACATGTTTTTCATAGAAATAGACCTCATGAAGTAAAAGTGACCTGAGCCCTTCATCCTGCATACCAAACGAGGTTTAAAGGCCCACAGAGAATGAAGATGATGGGCCTTGATGGGTTCATTGAGTGTATGAAAAGCGGGGAAACAACGAATCCTGAAAAGTTTAGGATGATGAGAAATAGAGGCCAAATACACTAACGTGCATGGAGGGCTTCAGCGCCATGACCTGTTGTTGAAGCCGAAATTGCCCCATTTCTTTGAAAATATGTCTTTGAAAAGAATTCCGACTCTTTCACCGGTTAGAGATTTAAGAGTCGAAACAGATCAAATGGGCTTTTTCGTTTGATTTGGACCTTAAACTGGCATAGAATATAAAGCCCAAAGAGAAGTATCATCGCTTCGGTCAAGTGATGGGTTAATGGAGTTGTTGTCTGGTGTCTGACTACGATGATAAAAGATTAATTTAAAATAATATTTAGTTTTATATTTTACATTTTAAAGGACAACATATTGCATTCAAATATTTTGTCAATTTAACAACATATCTTCTTCCCAGATCTGAAAAGACAAAAGATTAATTTAAGCATTGTATTGAAATTCAAATGTCTAAAATTTATAGATATTCAATTTCATTATCGCTATTGTTTTAAATAATTTTTAAGCAACTGAATAATTTGAAAAAGACACAAGAGTTTTAGATTAATTATTACTTTTAATTCTACCTCCTTAATATGCTTTAGTCAAAAAAATGAAAAGAAATGGGAAAAAATGTTGAACTGGATCTAACGGAGTTCAGGTAATCATCTCAATTTAATTAGTAGTAAATTACACCAATCATCATTGAATTTTACTCTTTCTCGTATCTCATTCGTTATACTTTATTTTCGTTCAATTTCTTCGCTGAACTTAACATAATTAACATTTTTGTCACACAATCATTTTCTTACTAAATAACTTTATAAATGAGCTGTTGCATAGATATAAAACGACGTCGTTTTGATGAAAATTTTATTTTTCTAAAATTGTGTCATTTTAACGCCGTTAAATATTTAATAGTTGAGTCATAAAAAATGCTAATCACATTAAGTTTAGAGAAAAATTGAATAAATTTAAAATATAACGAGTGAAATATAAAAAAAATTAAGTAATGATCGATGTAATTTACCCTTCAATTAAATGATGAACAAGTTGCTAAAAGTACATGAACTCGACAAAGATTATTGGCTTCTGCTTTTTAAAAAGTAGTATGAACAGATAATTATAAAAGTCGGAAAGCTTAAACCCTTTTCCTAGAAAGACCAAACATGCCTTTCATTTATTTATCTATTTTCCCTTATAGTGTGTTTAGTTAGGTAAATGTGAGATTTTTATGGGAATAAAATCTATATTCTTCTATTTGGTTGGTCGGGAATGTCATTCTTGGTAATTTTACATTATCAATAGTGGATTTTTTGGGGTATATTAACGGGAATATCATTACCTCAATTTATTTAGGTATTATTAGATTACCGACATTTTGGACTAAAGTGTCATTAAAATTATTATTTTTTAAAAATATAATTATTCTGTCATTAAATAATAAAAATTATACGAAAGTTAAATTATAAATATATTCTTAAACTAGTTTTGATTTACAAAAAAAATCTATAATAAAAATTTTATATGAAATTCAGGGGTTAAAATAAAATTTTATCTTTCATTAAATATTTTTATATTTTTAATTTTGTAAAAAGAATTATATAAATTTTATGAATTTAAATTTTTTAAAGATAATATATAAATATTTTTTAAATTATTAAAAAAATAAATATATAATATGAACAATTTGAAGTCATGTCAAATTATGTTTCTTTGTTTTTTCGTCCTGTCAAATTTCACGTGTCAAGCTCATTTAACGAGTTTTCAAATATGGCGGATGAGTGTTATATACAGAGACGAGTGTGTATATATAGGGATGAGTGTGTATATATAGGGATGCGCACGGTACACAAACTCGACGGATTTTTAACCCAGTCAAAATTGATCGGGTTAGATTTTAAAAAAAGTAGGGTTTGACTTGGGAAGGAATTTTTTAAGGGTGGTGTTTGGATTCGGGTGAAAAATATCAGACTCAATCAGAAAAAAAATATAATTTTATTTTATATATTTAAAAATAATTACAATAATATTCCTCTATGTATTAATTTTTTCAATTAAATTATTGTTTTTATTAAATAAAAATAATACTTTTATTATTATTTTGGGTCTGACCGGGTCGAGTTTATATTTTATTTTAAAAAGTTAGGTCGGTTTCGAGTCGGGTTGAGAGTACATATTATGCATGTCGGATTTCAGGTAGATAAGTCGTTGTTCTCGGATTGAGTCGTGTGGACAAAAAATATAACCTAATCCGATCTATACCCATCCCTATGTATATATATAGCTTGACTTATTATTAAGGAATAGTAATCCACACGAGTTTAGTATTATTGAAAAATTACTGTTGCATGTGTTTTGAAACAATTTTTAATAGTTTAAGATATTATAGTATATGTTTAGAATTTTTTTATCAATTATTAATGCACACCCTACAGAAATAATTGTTTGAACGCATAATTTATATAAAAAATAATATTTTTTTTATCACTTGGATCAACAAATGAATTCATATATAATTTTAAATTATTAAAATGATAATTTTATCATTACAATATACATTTAATTAATTAATTAAAAAATGATTAAATTTTGGAGGGTAGAAAATCCAAAGACTATTATAACATATTTATTAATATTATTATAAAAAACCATTATTAGATATCCTTTAAAATGAGTATGTCGTGTTCGACGAGTACTGTTGAGCACCATTAACGATTAGTAACATTGAGCTCCATTAATTTAATTTATAAAAAAATAAAATTTTAAATGACTTAACGTCTAATTATAAATTATTTAAAATTTTAAAAGTAAATTATTTGAAATAAAGCATTAATTACATTAATTTCCATAATCCTTTTTCAACAATAAAGAATTTATAATTTTCCATAGCCTTTAAAAAATTATTTAAAAATTGTTAAAAAAATATTATGAAAAATAATGTAATTAATATTTTATTTTCAATAATTTACCTTTAAATTTTTAATTAATTTATAATTTTACGTTAGAGTCATTTAAAATTTTAAATTTTTATAAATTAGATTAATAGTATTGAGCGATACTCATACTCCATAGTATTCGTAGAAAGTCATAGAATTTTCAAAATCATTTATTAAACAAAAGTAAATGTATGGATAGGGTTGACGATACTCAATTGGAAGTATCTCGGCGTGCTAAACGCAAATAAATGTGATTAGTGGAGTAAAATCAACAGGTCATTTGGAAAGCGACTGGTAAAAATATCACTTTTTATTAAAATTATATTTCTTATTTTTTTTATTGTTAGGGGGCACATTGAATAACTGTTCAAACCCTTAATTTTATACGAGGCCCCTAATTTTTTTTATAATATTGTTTACTTTTTATAATTTAACCTTTTAATTTTTTTTAATTTTAACATTTTATCATTATAATCGAGGTCTTTAATTTTTGTAATTTTACTTGTTATCTTTAGAATGGAGACCCTTAATTTTTTTCAATCCTTTTTTTTACATTTATAATTGATGATCCTAAGTTTTTCAATCCCACCTTGTACATTTATAATTAAGCTCCTGCTTTTATCAATCTCACTTTTTATCTTTATAATTTAGGTCTCTAAATATTTCAATCTCATTTTTTACTCATATAATTTAGGCCCCTATTTTTTCAATCTCACTTTTTACCTTTAAAATTGACCCACTATTTTTTTAATATCATTTTTTACCTTTATAATTTGGGTATCTATTTTTTAATCATACTTTTTACTTTTATAATTTAAGCCCGTAGTTTAATCATTTTTAACGATTTATTAACACAATATTAAATTAATTATTCAAAATACTAGAATATACTTTTATTTTATATCTTTTAGTTTCGCTCGAGATCTCGAAAATATATGAGATAGCTATGTATTTATTAGATAGTTTATTAAACGTACTGAAAAAATAATTTACAAACAAATTTATTTATTTATTTTTCTTGCTCTTACAATTTAATTTTTTTAATTTTTATATTCATCTCGGACTATTAAAATCTCAGAAATGGGCTGGGCCTGTTAACAGGTCATATTATTTCTGTCTTGCACCATTATCTTATAAATTACTTTTATTTGTGTTTATTTTCTTAATATATCTAACATTTATATTCTAAAAAATAAATATACACTGATATAAATTAAACGGTATAGATGTGATAGTATGGGGAGGTGAGCACACGGGTATCTGTACTGTAAGAAGTGTTTGCCGTGTACTGCTCGACAGTGATTCCGCAATAAGAGCCGACTCGAAGACTCTGAAGCAAATTTGGTAGGGAAAGGTGCTACGCAAAATAAAGATCCAGGTTTGGAAACACTACAACAATTATGTTCCTACGAAGCAAGTTCTCTACAACGGGCATGTGATCAATGAGCCATTTTGTACAGTTTGCCCAAACCAAGCAGAATCAAATATTCACGTTGTTAAAGATTGCATGCAAGCAAAGAGTGTTTGGCAGAATTTACAGTACCTTTGGCCAGACCAACACCAACAACGGAGTTTCGAGGAGTGGCTCAGCTGGATTTTGGACAACAACCATTGCAACAAACACAGTGAAATATTAGTGGCTCAGCTTGGAATAGGCGAATTCACAATGGAGTATTAATGAGAAGTGATGAAATAGTCACCCTAATCAAAAGCCAGTTCCGTGAGTTTTCTTGTGCAAACAGAGGACTCCAGCAGCCGAAGAACCTCAACTCTGAGATATGGGAACCGCCTCCACCGGACATAGTGAAGGTTAATTATGATGCATGTTTCAATCAGCAAGAGAGAAAGGGTTGGTCAGGTTTGATAATCAGAAATCATGAAGGGTATGAACTAGGGGCTTGTCGAAGAAAACTTTCGCGAGTCCACTCACCTTTTGTGGCGGAAGAGGTGGCAGTTGAACATGCACTGGAGTTCGCGAAGGATTTGGGTTTCATCCGCATCATTGTGGAAGGAGACTCAAGAAAAGTGGCTGAAAAATTTGTCTATACACAACAAGATTTTTCGGTGATTAGTGCTTATATTTGGACTTCAAGACAGAGAGCAAAAGGGTTCCCTACCTGTGAGTTCAGATGGATTCCAAGAGAGAAACAAGGTCGCATATCTTCTGGCGGTGAGACCGAGAGCAGAGGAGGAAGGCGTTAAAAAAAACAAATCTGTCGAAGAATCAATAATTATCTCTCAGACACTATTAATTAAATTTAACTGATCTAGTACTTATTTGCTAACATGGATAGAAGATGCAGATAGTCAAACGCGTCTTACTTGATTTTTCATCCTAGCTGACGTTACACGAGTAAAGCGTGGATTATCATTCGTGTCTTTCTTGAGTTTTCATCCGAACTTATGTCACACAATAAAAGCGTGGTTCATCATCCGCACCTTCCATAAATACTTTTAGCCTTCCGTCGCTCCCCTTAATTATCACCTACTCCTCTCCTATAAATTGCATCTCAAACCACACAAAAAACACTCTCATTCTTTTTAAAAAACTTCAAGTGGGTTTTGTTATTGTTTTTAAAAGTTAATTTTTTTATTATATTATAATAATTAAATAGTTTATTATTTTATTATATTTTACTATACTAATTTTTTTATGTTTTACAATTATAAAATAGAAGACGATTGTTGCGTTTAGATATGAATCATATTTCGAGTCATTTTGCTAATATGATAACAATTTTAAATTGTGTTATGTTAATTATTATGAATGTTTTATTTATTTATTTTTTAGTATTAATTTATATTTTAATTTGGATATTATTTATTTAATTGGGGAATAGCCGTATATTAGATCTACTTATTCGTAACACTAAGTTATAGATATTGAATCGTGTATAACCGTTTTAGCTGAGGCTAAATTCAGTTACATAGGGAGGGGCATTGTAACCTTGAATCCAACCTTATTTCTGCACTGGTTGAGAAGTGAAAACCAGAGACACAGGCATTTCATCTATCGTGTGGGGAGTACACTATTACCCTGGATGATGTTTCCTTATATTTAGGGCTTCCGGTAGATGATGATGTCATTTTTGGTGTGACGGATGGTGATTGACATTCCTTGTGCGATGAGTATCATGGAGGTATTCCGCTTAATTTCAACGGTGGTCGAATACCGTTAAGTTATTGTTGATGGCCGATGATCCCTCTGATATGTTATGTTATTGTCGAGTGGCATCCCACTAATCGCGTTCTCTGTTAATTCGGTTTCATATAATATATTCCTGAAGCACCTAGGAATCTCGACAATTTGTATAACATTGATAGACGAGGAAAAACAAAAGTTAATTGGCTGATGAAGCACATCGAATGGTAATGATCTAAGAGGATCAACGTGGACGTATTCTCCGTAGGAAGACGATTCGTGGACGGAGAGCAATCACTTCTGGTTCATCCTCAATTACAGCACTCGAACCATCACAACAACCATTGTTTTAACCAAACGAAGGTATGTCGTTTTAACCAAACTTGTTACTGGTAAATGATGTTCCCTTTAAGGTTGAATTGATAGCCTCAGTCAAGTTGGTTGTCCTGTGTACATATCGATATCCACAATCATATGCATTTATCGACATTTCTTTGTTGACGAGGCTTATGTAATTGTACCATTGCTCGTTTTTTTCCTTGTAAATCTTGAAGCATGTACTCAAACGTTTAAGAAAGTAGTTTGTAACCTGAGCATCAAATGTAGTACTTACTGTTAAGTTCCCATAAAAAATAAAAAAAAAAAGTGGAGAAATGAAATTAAAAATTGTGACATACTCATGCGCACAAGTAATTGATGTTCATCATTATTCTTGAACTTTCCATGATAGTTCGGGACAATATGTCAGATACAATACCGACGTTGGATATAAGGTGGTCGCCACATTTAAACCAAAGACTCTATTGTTGTTTTGATCCTAGTTCTGCTATTTGAAATGACATATTTTTTCTTCGTGACAACATATAAGCGTAAAATTTTGAGGTAAAAAACCCAATAATCTGTATATTCTCATTTAAAAAAAATCACAGTAAATTAAATAATATAATTTAATATTGTTATTGTATCGATAAAATGTCTATAAAGTTGATATCGCCTTTCATTTTACAACCGCAAAAAGTAATACAAAATAATTAGTACAATTTTTTTCTCCAAATAATTAAATATAATATAATAAAAAATAATTTTACATTTTAAAAATTATAACAAAATCTACTTAACTTGATAGAACGAATTAATAAAAGAAACAATGTAAAAATAATTTTAGTATAGTTTGATGTTTGCATTATTGGGTACTTATATGGGAGGGGAATCGATAAGTCGTCGAATCTCGGGTAATAATGGTGGTCCACACCATTCATTTCGTGTCAGTTTTCCCACGAAGATACAGATGGTGAACAACGCTGTTGTCGTATGACGTTAGCTTGATCGAAAATCTAGTGAAGACATGCTTATGATCCGCGCCTTTCATCAATGTCAGTAAATGAGTGTTAAATCAGTATAATTCGATCAATGAATGTCTGACATGTAATTATATATTCTTTGGATAACTTTTGTGTAAAAACCCAGACGACGAAGACCAATACTGGATTGAAGAGATTTCAGATATTCCGGCGAGACAAACCGCCGAGGACAGGTACCTCTTAGCGTCGTCGTGATTTCCATAGCAGTTTTTGAAGCTTCCAGTTTCGATTTGGAGATTTCACTTTAGTTTTTTGCAGATGGGGCTTCATCGGGCATTTGGATCGTTTCTGCAGGAGACGAAACGGCTGGGTATTTTTAGGAAAGCTAGCTTTTTGGTTTTTGTTTTTTCAGGTTGTTTTCATTTATTATTTTTTAATTTTTGGGCTGTAAAATTGATAAATTATCCGACCGTTTTCATTCAAAAAAAAAATTAATTAAACGGTATAATCCATTTTAATTACTTTTACAAGTAATGATTATAGATGTCAACTAAAAAGATCAGAATATTTCCCTTACATTTATTTTCATTGAAAAACAATTATTTTCATAGTTATCTTCCGATTCATTAGAAGTACAAAGGATGTATATCCTGTTAATATTTCATATCTAAAAAATATAATTATTTATTTTTTATATTAAAAGGTATCTATTCAGAGTAAAATTCACTTAAAAATCTCTTATAAATATTAAACAAATTTGTTAGATTTTTTAAATCTCAAAATTCAAGAAATTTTATTTTCTTAAAAAATATTCTCTTATTTTTAGAAAATATTTTATTTTCTTCTTAATTTTTCAATGATAGTTGAAGGTAAGGATATTTCATCATATCTATTGTTTTGTTACTGTAGTTAATCATCTAATTGTTATATCATAGGAGATAAACAACTAAAAGATCTCGAGTAACAAGAGATGACCGAAAATCTATCTTATGAAAACTATGTTACGACAGGCAGTGACATAACGTAAGTAAGGCTAGTGGGGGACATGCTCCAATAAAATTTTAAAAAAAACTATAATTTAGACATTTTAAATTTTCAAAAAAAATCTAATTTGGTCCCCAAATTGTTTAAAAATCTATGTTAAACTTTAAATTTTTTTAATGTTCTTAATTAAATCTCCTCCCATAATTTAAAAAAAATCTTATTAAGCCTCTCAAAATGTCAAAAAATTAGTTAGACCTTAATACTTTTGGGGGAAAATATATTAAGCCCTTCAAAATTTTTGAAAAATTTAATTTAAACTTCCAAATATTTTAAAGTTTTAAGTTGTCCCCCAAACTTTATCACTCAATTTCGCCACTAACGACAAACCTTAACTGTTTCTGATCTCAAGATAAAAATCAAAAAGTATTTAATCTTTTATTTATTTTCTTTTATTTTTTAAAGAAACTATTTTTTTTTTAAATTTCGTCTCAATTTTTTATTTCAAATAACAACTAAATCTTATTTGAATATGAAATTAAGACACTGCATATAGATATGGGCATGGGACCCGAATTCGATAGGCTCCGACCTGACCCTATTCGATCGGGTAGGGTGTTTAAAAAAAATTCAAGTTCGTCTTGGGTCGGGTCAGGTTTTTTAAATGTGTTGTTTGGGTTAGGTCAGATTCGAGTTTAGGGTAAAAAATACCCGACCTGACCCGATCTGGAAAAATATATAATTTTACCTTATATATTTTTGAATAATTACAAAATAGCCCTCTATATATTATTTTTTTCAATTAAATCATTGTTTTTATTGAATAAAAATAATAATATTTTATTATTTTGGGTCGAATCGGATTCGAGTTTTATCGAAAAAAATTAAGTCGGGTGGAAGATATATTTTTTCGATTGCGTAGGGCCAGGTGAATGATGTAAATTTTTTGAGTAAGATCGGGTTAGCCGAAATTCAACCCTAACTAGACCCATACCCTTCCCTAAATGCAACTGATGATGATTTATTTTAAATTGCTAATACAAGTTTGGTGAAGGACCACTGCATGCGATTCACATTGGACGAAGTTTGCCTGGTTGGCCTATTTTTAGCTTTATATATATTAGAAATTAGCTAATTTTATTAAAAATATAAAATATATAAAATTAAAAAGAAGATTTACAAACATAAATGTAAACTTAAAATATAATTATGACATTTTTTTTATTATCATTGAAACAAAAAATTAGTAGCATAAATCACATAAGGATCAAAGAAAAAAAAATTTAAAAACCTAAAATAAACTCGAATAAAATATGATACAAACTAATATGTCTACACCGGTAAACGAACCACAAAAGGAGATGAATATATTGAAAGACCAGTGAAAAATCGTAAATCAGTGTCAAGCGACATGAGAAAACTATTTACAAACGCAAAATGCGTATCCAAATCAATCCGATAGTCCAAAACTTGATCAATCGTGACGATGTCAAATTAAATCATGAGAAAAAAATATAAACAATAACAATGACAAAAAACCGTAAACAACGATAAAAAAAACATAAGCTACCAAAAGGCAGATAAAAACATGTCACAAAGACAGAGATAAATGTGTCATAAAGACAGATAACATATAACAAATACATAATTATTCTTATTAAAAAACTAAAAATATAATAAAAGATAACTAACAAGCGACAACCAATGTCGTCGTAGTTCAAAAAATTAAAAAAAGAAAAGAGGTGGATTGATATTAATATAAGTCGTAAAGAAAAAAAAATAAAAGAGAGGAAGGG